TTCGTACATGCCTGGGTGAACCTTGAAATGATGATCTGCACGAAATATTCTGCACAAGTCCGGGGGCGGTCAAAAAGTGTTTTAAACTTCTGAAAAGGGCATGGTTGTGAACCGCACTGGATGATCTTCAAAATGGCTGTCCCAGTGCAAAACCCCATGGAAATGTGGAACACTCCCAGTCATGCAGGCCAGAGCCGGCAAATACATTAATGTACACAGATTGGCAAATTGTCAGATAACATCCCGTTGCCACGCTTGTGCTGTTGCTAACGACCGCTCCAGACGGGGACGTGGGCGTGGTGGTTGGTCCTAGCCTCCGCTGCTATCTGGCCCAACCACCCATTTTGTGTGAGCGTCCTTCAGGTGGAGCTGGGCTCGGCTGGCCGGCAGAAGACCGGCTGGTTATGTAACGGCCCCGGCCACGGGGACCGGCCGCCCATCGCGCTGAGTCAGTCAGCCAGCGAGCCTGCGAGACGGCGGGTTGGGAAGTCGAGGAGTCTCAGGGCCTTTGTCGAGTCACGGTCGCTTGTCTCGGCCGTCGTCGAGTCACGGTCGCTGGCGGAGGGCGGCACCAGGATGTGCGCCAACGTGAGAGCGGATGTCGGCTGCCTCCCGGGATGCAGCAGCCAGCATGTGACCACCGTGTTCGCAGATCGGAAGAACGAGCACGTGCTGCCCCCTCCCCTCTTCCGCGAAGTTGGCCCTCGTCACTCGGTGCATGCGCATGACCGGGTGACGTAAGCCGTGGAAGGACGTGACCAGTGTTCAGCTTTGACGGCGTGGCGCAGGCCGTCAATGGGCTGACAGCAGAGCGGCTACGGCTTGGCCGGCGGACCCTCAAAGGGCGGGCTTAAAAACAGCAGGCCCTTGAGAGAGTTTTGTTTGCAAAGTTGCAGGCTTCCGCAGATTTTCAAAGCTCACTAAAAAGTGAAATTGTACACGTACTGTAATGTAGAACATTCACTTGACGTTGATATACCATTGGCATTGTGCACGTGACATGGCAGTTCAGTGTGGGCTATGCACGGAGTTTAGATATGCAGTTAAGCTAAAAAAAAAGGTGAAGTGTTTTAATGGGGTAAGGTGCCTTTGTTCGTGACATTGATAGACATGTACTCCAATGTCATATTCCGGTAGACATATTGGTAGGCTTGGATTACATTTATGGCGGTAGTTGATAGGCCCGAAAGCTTTCGCTAAAAAAAGTCCTGGCAAGTTCGCCGAGTTTTCACGGGCTGGTAGGCATGCCAGTGAAGACCAGGAATCAGTTCTTAAAATAATGGCTTCGAAGTTAATTGCAGTGGACATGTTCTGAGACCACTGACTCCTGCATGATGCTTTCAATGGTCTTAGCTTGACACTTAATGACTAATGGCTCCCGAATAGACATGCATACGAAACAAACGTAATAGGAATGCTGTCATGCCTACCCTAGATGTGATTTAATGTACACATTAAATGTACACAAATATGCGGCTGCAACAGGTATATTTGATCAACACACCGGGGGAGCAACCGGTCTAATCGACGCATTCGGTTGGATTGGTTGGTTGGTTGGATATATCCGAAGAGCAAGAGAGCTAGAGACACCATTTGCAGCTTATAGGGTAGATGCGATTATATATCTAGGCCATGTCCTTGAAGTTAATCAAGTCGAACAAGGTCACATTCGAGATATGTGAGCTGAGTGTCTCCGCCCTACACACGCAACCAGCTTGAACATATATTTTAAAGAAGTGGTCACAGGGACTATACTAGCCCAGAAGCATTACCTGACATATAAACTTCCAAATGGAAATTGCCCTTGACATCAGCGTGGTGTTTGGATTTAAAGTTAGCTTCATGAACTGGTTGTTCGTGGCAGGAGGCTGAACGAGACCGTTTTTGGTCCAGACTTAACAATCACGGAGCTTTGTTGGGAATTTTCCAGTTTGATATGGAACCAGCGGCGTGGCATCGGCCACTGTCCTACCCTACTGAACTGACGTGGCTCTTCCAAGACTAAAACAAATCGTAGTGCGTTAAACGATTTTAAATCATTTTCGGGTGACGCGCGAAGGGATGGAGAAAGTGGCTCGAAAGGTGCCATTCAGGCGTGGTGAGCCTACCTAAACAATATTTCACACCAACATGGGATCAAACGCTCGTCAGGGTTATTACACAATGCACACAGGCCAATTACCAGTAATGGTAGATGCAGGTGTGTATTTTAGCATATATCGTGGTAAATTTTGATATTAGCGCCAAGGTGCGGCAATATACATAACCGAATGATGGGATATCCCCCTTCACATAAGCTCGTGCGTGTGATATAAAACCTTGCCTCAGTGCGTTATCTGGGAAAACATTTTTTAGCTGTTTCACAACGTTCAAACATTGACCTTCGGTCTCGGGCAGAAATTTTAGTGACCAAGGTTCCCGAAAATTATTTCAGCCCAAGTTGATATGCTTTTCACTAAATCCGTATTGTAATGGAACATGGGGCGAAATGTTCAGCCATTCTTCCCGCCATACTTGGGCTATGACATCAAAGGAAAAGACAGTGAGGAGAAAATTAAAAAGTTTAGTCAGTCTGACCGTAGTAAAGAACCACCGTCTATCGCAATCTTCGTTATCAACATATGCACTTTTTGAAATGCGACATTCTACCACAAATGCCATTTACTACAAAATGTTACTCTCAGGGGCTGGAAAGCTTGCAGGGCAATAACTCAAATCCCACAACAGATTTTTAACAACAAAGTCCAAGGGTGTTTTTGACCGAGTAACTGTACGTGCAAAGGCGGAATGCCATGCCACACTCACGAGCACGAAAAAGGAATGTATCCCAGGATTTGGTGAACAGTTGTGTCTGGCTCGCTGAGATCCAGTGTTAAGAGAACTGGTGAGGACTTTCGGCTCAGTGTTCATCTACATTTTACGGGCCCATTTTTCCACACATCGTCCAGAATTTAAGCTCCCCCGAGACCTCGGAAGTGTTCAGTTCACTTGCTTCAACGATCTCGCTAACAAACGGCGAAGTGTTTTACTGTTGGTAAAATCACTTTTGCCAGCATATATGACTTTTTTTATTTCGTCATCATCCTGGTCACTGACTTCATAGCCCAGATCATCGGGTAGCATGACTTTTGCTGCTTCCTGAGGCCGATTGACATCCGGTAAAAATCCTAACCCGCTTGACCAGAGGAGCTCGATACTTAGGTCGGAACCTATATAAACCGTAGAAAGAACAATTTTTCAGACCTCGATTGTTGCTGAATGTACTGCTCTCGATCTAACCTACAATCCCGGCCCGAAAATTCACGGATAACCTTCACCAAGAACAATTATTTTACCGGCTCTGTGCAGTGTCATATAGTCAAGGGGATATATTTGACGTCTGGGTGAGACTCATCGTCTGCATAGTTGAAACCGGTATTGGCAGGCTTAAGTTTGTTTGCAGCATACCTGAGGCCAGAACAATTTTTGCGGGACTTCGGTCGGGTTGAAGACATTGCGATATCTTACGCATAAGTTCCCACCGCAGGCTCCTCGGGCGAGGTACCTCCCACCTCGGCTGACGGAGAGGGCTGCAGTGGCAGAGCATGCCCGGTCGGCGCCGCTCCCGTGCCGTTCCGCAGTGCCGGCGGGTCCGCCGCCGCCGGTGCCGGCCGTCCCCCCCGACAGGCTGGGCGCCGCACGGCGTGCCATGGCATGGGCCAGGCGGCTGAACGGTCATGCACTCTTATGTAACTGTTGTAAAACGAACGGCCGGCTCGTTGCAAACACGGACCATCCCGCAACAGTGGGGTGTGGGTTGCATACCTAATTCAGAAGCCGCGAACATGTCGAGGTCAATGATTGATCAAGACGTTACTAAAGCGCATTAAGTTTGCTGCTTGCATATATATATATATATATATATATATATATATATATATATATATATATATATAGTATATTCATACATGCATATCAGTGGAAGCAGGCAGCAAATTATCCTCTATATAAGTGTTGTTGAGGACCTTCGCGCAGGCACATTTCTTGAGCTAACTGAGGATAAGATTGGCACCTATTCGTTTGTCTGACGCTTCGGAATCGTCACATATTCCATTTTAAAGATGCTCACGCAGTCTACAAACGGCTAAGATATTTGCACAGAAAAATATTTAGGTATGACCAAGTTAAGCTCCATCGTCAAGTTGTATAGAGTCTAAGTGGGGTAGCTGCCACATTTGGACGCTGAATTATTCAAACGGCAAAACACCTGCTGAAAATAAGGGCTTGCCTCGATGACGACAGTATCACAGTTTAAACCGATGTAAGCGGGGATGCGGAATGACGTCCCATTGTCGTTGTGAGAAATACATGAAAGAAAGATGGAGATGAGTTGATATGTCGGATACGGGTCATGCAAGGCTGTTATGAGGGGGGGGGACAGGGACCCCACCTAGCCAGCATGTTAGCGCGGCCGCTTCCTGGGATACCACCGGGTCCGGAGTCCACAGGATACCGCGGGGTCCAGGAGTCCACAGGATACCACGGGGTCCAGGAGTCCACAGGATACCGCGGGTCCAGTAGTACACAGGAGAATGGCCGTTGGAAGCAGAGGGAGGGTAGAGGAAGTTTGCCGAATTTCGCAATAACTGGAATGGAAAAATGGTGTGTAACTGTGAGAATTGGCGACGAAGGCAAGGAAGAGCGAAGGGTCGCTAGTCGACACCGCTAATTCCGTACATGATGTCGGGCGATGTCGATATCTGTCCGCTACCCAGTGATGTCACAGTTCCCACTTAGCCAAGAGACCACCTATGGTAGAATGTATCCAACCACGCTGTATAGTTTTGGTTTGGTTGACAAGTGAAATCAGAGCCTTACTGGCCGTTCTGCTGAGCGGCACTATCATCTGGAGGTGTCGTGACCCGCGACCAGTGGCCGGTGCCCAGTGACCGTGTTATCGTGTTACACGGTGAGGACCGCTGGTCCGACTTGACCTAACCTGAGATGACCACCGCCGGCAGCCGACGATGGCGAACAAGACGTGCCGTACCTGGAGGGCATCCAGCTGATTAAAATCCACATGCCGCTGTCTCGCCGCAACAGCGGCGGCAGGCCCTGCCCAAGGCCGTGCGCCGGCGGCGGGCGCGGGTGCTCTGGCTCCAACGCCACCACCACCACCTCGACAACCACCACCACCACCACCACCATGGCGACCGCCACGTCCACCTCGACCAGCACCGACGCTCATCGTCGGACGACCACGACGAAATACCCGACGAACGAGATCGTCGTCCCGGACGCAGCCACCGTCGACGTCATCTTCGCCAACATGAGCAGGCTCAACGACAGCGTGACGTCGTTCGGCTTCGGCGGCACGTTCGAGGTGCGCGTGAACCGCAGCCGGCGGGCGGTGGACGTGACCTTGGCGCGGGTGGCCGACGAGGGGCCTGGAGGCGCTCGACGACGCCGAGCCGGCCGGCCCCGTCGACCTGGTCGTGCGCGGGCCCAGCGTGACGGGCATCGACGAGGACGCTGACAACGCGATCGACGTCGAGTACGGGGACGACGACGAGGACTACGTCGAGGACGACGCTGGGGACGGGAACGCGGACGACGACTGGAGGATGGATGCCGATGCCGCCGGCCTCGAAGGCCGCTCGCGCTGGAGAAGCTGGGGCCGGGGTCGCCACGGTGGGCGCGGCGGCGGCTCGGGGAGGCGGCGCCGCGGCCACCCCATCTACATCAACGGCACCGCGCTCAGCGGCGACGCTCTCTGCAACATCGACTTCAACACGTCCGGCGTGTTCCAGCTGAACAAGACCATGACGGATCGCACCATGACGGTGATCATCACTCAGCTGATCGCCACGGGAGGACAGCTGGGCGCGGCTCGCCACGGGCTCCTGTTTGGCGCGACAGGTGAGCGAGAGCTTGGTTACAATTGGAGCGCGGCGCACGTCTTCACGTCTCTTTTTTGGAGCGACCGCATCGGCCGTGTTAGCGCTCAAGGGCCACGATGCATCCGGGATTCGAACCCGGGTCCCACGTAGAAGTCCGTCGCGCTAACAACAAGGTTGTTAATGACCCCCGCCCTCCCCCCCCCCCCCGCATTCCCTTCCCCGTAAGCGAGAGCCCGCCTTCGCGGCGTCAGGTACGACCGTTTTGCATCAGGCAGCGGGGTTTGAAGCAATTTCTACGTTTCTTTAAAGCTTTCTTTATCGGGTAGGGAATTTTTGTGTTGGCAAAACATTAGCCTGCTTTTCAGCTGTGTGATGTTGATATTTTCAGGTTGATATTTCAGGTGAATAATTTTTGTTTTACAAGAAAGTAGCCCATTTTTCATTTCTGCAGTGTGCTTGGTACGGTTAATCCGATTGCGGGATATATATCATCAACATCATTTTTCGTTTGATCTGTAACTAAATACAGACTGATAATAATCGAGCAACTCATGTTATGCATTTGAGGCTCAACATTTTTGTATGCGGGCATTTGTGTCCCATTCTTCCTTTTGAATGAGTCTTTCCGGAGCCATGTCAATATGGAGTCATTACCAAGCTGAATTTATTACGATATGCATTCAAATGGATTGGAGTTCATCGTGTTCCCCGGAATGTGCAGAGCAATTTTCGCAAGATAGCCGTTTTTCTCTGATCGTGACGTTGTATGACACTGAAGACATTTTAGCGCTACTCGGCTTGCAAGCTGGAAAGAAACTAGTGAAATTTAGGACACTTGGGTGGAGGATGGATGGCGAGGAATTAAATCCAAGAGTCACGGGAGCAAAGGGCTTTTAGAAAGTGGCACCTTACATTAGTATGCTTCGACTGTTATGTAAGGGGTGTCGAGCAATGTCGCCGCGCATTCCGCCCCCACGCTTGGTTCCGAATATCTGCGATTGTACCCCGTAGTTCAAGCGCACTCATGCTAGAAACAATGATTGGTTTCGTGTTCACCTCACATCCTTGCAAAGACAAGGTAAAAAGGTTACTCACGGCGAACGCTAAGTTTACGCGGATTTAGAGGAGGTCGCATTCCGTCTTTAAAAAATACTCCCGCTATGAAGATCAGTGTGTGAGCTGGTATCCAGACAGATGCAAGTAGCAAATGTATTTTGTTATACTTGTTCAGCTGGCATCCCACCTCTTTCTCACAAACCGCAGCGAAGAGCTGCACGGACTATTACTTCAGCAGATGTTCTTGTTTCTTGGCACCCGGTTTCTCCGAACGCAACATGCATTATCTAGTCTCGTTTTGCCGCTCATAGCGCCACCTATACCGTTTCAGATGACACGGTAGCGAACTCTGGCGGCGTCCCGATGACAGCCGTGATGATCGTCGCTGGTGTCACCGCGCTGGTCGTCCTGATCGCGGCCATCGTGGTGACGCGCATGCGCAGTCGCGCCCACCGCTCGTCGTTCGTGCGCGTTGGCCACGGATACGGAACGATCGAAAGGCCGTCCGACGCCAGCAACTACTACGGCATCCATACCGCTACACCGTAGCGACCGGCCCGTCGGTGGCGCCAGCGACGCTCGCCGACGCCCGCCTGAAGTTCAGGGCATGTATCTGACGCCGTAGAAGGCAAACGTGCCAACGGGTGGTGGTGGTGGAAGGACTAATGCTTGCTTGGAGCGTAGGGAAGACGCGCGCCATCCCAGACAACGAATGCCGCTGGTGCAACCCTTTCTTTTCGCATAGGACTCTCCCGCTGGAACGTGAAGACGAGTGCCATTCCCGATTCTAGCCGTCCGTGCCAGCCACCAGCGGACCGCCAGTGATGCGACTCATACTATCTTATCGCTGCTTTGCTACCCGTACAACTGGATGTTTCTGCAATGGGTGCAAAGTCTAGTGTTTACTTGTGTGTGTGTGTGAGGGCCACAGGGGCGGAGTCTGACGGTCGGGCTGATTACCACGTCATGAGTTACGCTCAGTGCGTGCCGAAGACGCTGCGCCTGCAGTGGACGAGTTTATGCTGTGGTTCTCTGATGGATGATCTGACTTCATAGTGTTTACCGATTTGTCGGGCCAGCGTGCCTCGCTGCCTTTCTCGTGCCTCTGTACTCATGACACGACGCCAATACACGAGCAGGCCTTGGCATTGCGTTCCGACAGTGTGACGAGACGCCGCGCCGCGGTTCTGCGACCGCAGACCTTTTTACAGGACCGCGCGCCGTCCAGTTCGGACTTCGACGCACATCGCTGGTGGCTTCGCCGCGCACGCATGGCTTCAGCCGGCCAGCATAGTCACGGTTTCAGGGTGTCGTAAAGACCCTGAACACCGCGGACCGCAAGGAGCCGGCATCGCCATCGTCGTACACGCGGCACACCAAATCCAGGCAACGGACAGGCTTTATCTTTATTGGTGCTACAACACTGTAACCGATATCCTGCGCCGTATTGTACATGATTGCTTCATACAGACACAACACATATGCACAAAATATTAACAAAATAGACTCTGACCTAGCGACCGGGGCAACGAAGAGACACGTCTAGACGGGCAGCGAAGGGAAATCCAATTTTCATAAAACGACCGCGGTCGCCGACCGCAGCCAGAACACAACCGCGCAAGAACAACCATCAAAACGACGAGGTTCTTGTCGGTGAGCCGGGGTCAGGTATCACATACAGATGTTCATAAACGGTCGCCGGTGAGCGCGCCGGCCAGACTGAGGCCCCACCAGCGTCAGCCGGTTGGGGAGGGGGGGGGGGGGAGGCTCGCCGGCCGGGCCGGGCCCCCCGCATAGCTGCCAGCGGCCGGCGTGCGGTGCTACATCTAGAGCGACGCCCAGCCCGCGCGCCCGGTCCGCAGGCGGCCGAATGAGATCTGAGTGAAGACACGCCCAGGTGCTCCGAGCAACACGCGCGCCCACACAAGCCGAGAAGCGACAGTGAGGTAGTGAGCGGCAGAAATGGCGCGGCGGCCGGTGCGCCGGGGCCAGCCGCCCGGCGGCCGGTGGCCGCGCGGGGCCGGCGTCGCTCGTCGCCAGTCTGTGAAAGACCGCGAGCGGCCGAGCCGCCCGTCCGCCCGCTCGCGGCAGCCAGCAGCGCCTACGCAGTAGGCGGCCGCGCCGCAGTCCGCGCCTTGCGCACGCGCGCTGCGAGTCGCGCGCCCTCTACAGCTACGTAACCACGAGAGTTGCAAGTCCAACAAGAAAGGAGACCATATGCTCTGACTGAGGGCGGCGGCGACGGCGGCGCGCCGCGCGTCAACAATTATCACTATGGCAACACAAACGTCGTCCGGCAAACGGCAGTTTGAACACTATGATTGGTGGGATGAGGCGGGGGCCCCGGCGCAATCGGGCGCCACCCGGGCCGGCCATCATTGGCTCGTCTTGATCCGCTTGCGGGTGGTGTTGATGGGTGGCACCTGCTGCGTTGCCAGCGCGCGGAACGCCTCGGCGATCAGGTGCGGGTGCGAGGTGATCATCGACTTCCAGGCCGGCGTCTCCATGATGTCCGTGGCGTGGCTGCGGGGGCGGAGGCGCCGTCAGAAGGGCAGCGGGCGGGGCGGGAGCACCGTCAGAAGAGCAGCGGGCGGGGCGGGAGCGCCGTCAGAAATACAGCAGGCGGAGCGGGACGCCGTCAGAAGAGCAGCGGGCCGGGCGGGAGCGCCGTCAAAAATACAGCGGGCAGAGCGGGGGCGTCGTCCGATGGGCAGCAGGTGGGGCGGAGGCGCCGTCAGAAGGGCAGCGGACGGAGCACGGACGGGTGACAAGTGAAGAGACCGACACACGGTGGTTCAACAATAAATCACAGTATAAAAAACAAGACCACACATGAAAGACAGCATGCGACACACACAATCAGGCCGATTGTGTTGTTCCTGGGGGTAATCCATTCCGACCGGAGAACCCCAGCGCTGGCGGCTGGTGACGAGCTGACTCACATGTTGATGAAATCGACGGCCTGCGCCTTCAGCTGCTCGGCTGAGTGCAGGTCGGCCAGGATCAGCACGTCGGCGGCGTTCTCGATGCTGAGGTTGGCGCACAGCGCCTCCTCGCACATCACCTTCAGTCGCTCCATGGCGTACTGCGGGCGACAGCGGTCCAGGGTCAGCCAACTGGCGCGCTGCACACTCCGCGCTTGGCGAAACGGAGCGGGTTGCATACAGAACCCGGGGAACACCGGCACGAGAACACCGCAGACGCTCGGCGTCGGCAGCGTACGTCATCTACAAATACGCTATAGATACAGCTGCACAGCGCGCGTCATTCTCAGCTTGAAAGCTGTCTGCTGACACCCCTTAGCGGTTGCCATGGTCCCCAAACCCGGCTGCCGATCCGTGGTCCTCAAATTCGGTTGTGGGCGCGCACCTTGTCTGCGGCCGCCAACAGATCATCGGCCATCTTCTCCAGGTTGTTCGTCTTGCCGGTGTAGATGAAGCGCAGCATCTCGCGCAGCACCTCGTGGTCCACGTCGGTGATGTCGACCCGGTTGTGTTTGCGCTCTTCCATCTCGTGCTCGAACATGGCGGCGAACACTGGCGAGCGGGCGGCCAGCAGCGCCTTGTGCGCCTGGAACTCGCGGCCGCCCACCGACAGTGTGACGTCGCTGAAGCGCTGGCTCTCGAACAGCTGGCCCATGTCGTCCGAGAGTCGGCAGTCAGGCACCTTGAACTGCACCTGGTTCGACTGGCCGTAGATGTTGACGCTGTCGGCCACCACGCTCACCTGCAGACGGAGCGCCAAGCTGTGGTTAGCTACTACGCCCACAGATGGCGACTGCAGCGCCCGGACGCGGCCGAATTCAAGGTCGCGCCGCAATTAGCCATTCATGAGGCCGTCGTCACGCGATAGCCGAGCGCATCGGCGACCTGCAGCCGGCTCTTTAAAGCTGGTCAGTAAATCACCGGCGAGAAGCCCCGGTGCCCGCGGCGCCCACTGACCTCGCAGAAGAGCGTGAGCTTGTCGTCCGGCAGCAGGCCGTTGGCTTCGTCGAGCAGGAAGTCGCGGCGGATGAACTTCTTGAAGCCCCAGTCCTTGCCCTGCACGAACCGATAGGCCCGCTGGCTCTCTGTAACGGCCGACCGACTGGCGTGAGGCCGGGGCGGGCCATCATGCCCATATCGGCGCACGAGGCCCGTGGTTAGCCGCGGAGCAGCCGGATCAGCGGCCGTCGGCTCGCCGCCTTTTAAAAGGCGCATATTGTTTTAACCTCAAAACGGGATCGAGGGCGTCTGTACTTGTAAACGTGGACGGCGAGAGCAAAGAAGCAGCCATCCCACCCTCAGACGCATTGAACAATGACCCGGGTACGTTGCATGGAAGGACAAAGGTAATAACATCGTCCCCTGTCGCCACCTCCTCGCAGGATCCGCCTTGGAACTCACCCATTGCCTTTGTTTCCTCCCGCTTGGCATTGAGTATGGAGAATTTGAACTTTGCCCTAACTTCTTGCTTGTTGCATGCTACTAGTAGAAGATATAGCGACAGGTAGTCTTTACTTTCTTCGTCTAGTCCCTTAGGGTTGACTCTCAAACACCTGCAACAAAGAAAACACGCGTCAGCGATGCAGCGACGTCCGTCTGATGACAGATAACCGCGGCCGGGCGTACCAGGAAGGCTTGTGGCCTATCGCGGGAACGAGCAGACACGTGACCAGCCCTGGATCCGTCCCTACATGACGGCCCGCTGCATTCCTCACAGCCTACCGTGCAGCCGGGCCCGGCGCCTGGCGCCTGCAGTCACGTCACGCTGTCGGGTCAAATCCTCCGGCGGCCGGCGCTCGGGGTACCACCGCCAGGTGCTACATATCCCACAACCACAGCCGGGAGCCAGTCAGCGATGCGGGTGACATGACCGCCGGAGCGAGCGGTCACTATTGCGGCGACAAGTCTGGCTCGTGTACTGTTGTACACGCGTCGGTGCGCCTGTCCGCCACGACCACCCCTGGCCACCATTACCAGCGGCGGCAGCGGCGGCGGCGGCGGCGGAGGGCCGCGAACAAAGGCTGCGCGGCCAGTGGCATTGGACGGCGGACGGCCCGCCGACCGGCGCAAGGCTCAGTTTCGGTCGGCCGGCCGGCGCCGAATCACCTCTACGGTTGCGTGTGTCCTCAGCCGCCGGGATGGCGTATCCTTGGGTGCTTCCTAACCGGCGGCGACGGCGGCAGCGGAGGGAACAGGTCCGCCGGCGCACGTCCAATGACGCCCGGGCCTCGGCGCCCCGGTGCCGGCGAAGGTCCGCCCGTCTGCCGCGTCCGCGCCGCGCAAGGTCGCCAGCAACAGGATGCTGCCATGGGCACGCCACGGGCTGGTCCGGCCGCTCAGGGCGCCGCCGCGTCGGGGTGGTCGGCCGCTACAGTCTGCTGCCGGTCGCGCCGTCAGACAACCGCAGTACCACCCCTTTCCCTCGGAATATCCGGGCCAGCGCGGCTGCCACGGCGAGGGCGCGTCTCCGTCGCCGCCCGCGCCGTCAAATCAGCGCCGAGACGGCCGGCGCCGCGCCGCGCCGCTGCCGTCCCAGAGCGCCTCCTCTTCCGCCGCATCCAAACAAATAAATCGCGTCTAACGGCCGGCGCGTCGGCACGGTGTAAATCTCCGGAGTCGGGGCGCGGCACGGCGCCGCGCGGGCCCGGGGCCGGACGGCGGGTCATCGGCCGGCCGCGCTGCGGGTCAGGGGTCACCGGGGGGAGGGGGAGGGGGCGGGGGCGGAGGACGCGGCGAGGTCAGCGGCGCGCCGGCCGCCGCGCCGGCCGCCGCTGACCGCCCGCTGACCTCTGCACGGCCGGGCATTGATCAGGCGGCGGCCGGGCGGCGCCGACCTGCGCCCACGCCCGCCTCACCGGCCGGCAACAGCGCTTCGATCGGCCGCAGCGGCCGGAGCCCTCCCCGGGGACGGCCTCCGGCTGCCGAGTGGGCTCCGCCGCCGCCCGAGCCGCGCCGAGCCGCCGCAACAACCGTCAGCTGGTCGATGACAGGCCGTCTCGGCGCGGCTCGCTCTCCGTCGGCCGGGCGCTTGGACGCCGCGCGTCCGCCCGGATGACAGCCCGGGGCGTGCCGGCGGCGGCCGGCGAGCGTGCCGGCGGCGCGAGGGGTGCGCCCGCCGTCGGCAGTCGGTGGTCCCAGCGCTGCGGGCGGCCCTCAGGCGCCCCGTTTCCCAACGCCGCCGGAGGGGACACGATCGCGGAGCTCCCGCAGCCCGTGGTGTCACTCGAGCACGGCGCGCGGTGGCGCCGCAGCGGTTGCACAAGACCAACAGGCCGTGCACCACGCAGGCGACGTCTGATCGTGTCCACCGGCCTGGTCCGAACTGCTGCTACTGCCACGGACACCGGTCGTTATTGCGTGGCCCGAGCATGCTCGAGGCGCTGACCCTCGTAAACGACAGACAGGTAACTGCGGAGGTATCAGCAACTATCCATGACAAGCGAAGGGGAAAGTTGCACCTGCCAGAAACCCTATGAGAGCCGTCAGTCAACCCGTCCGCCGCGGGCTCGTAGCGCTGCCTGCTGACCCGCCCCATGGCGTCATTACTCACCACTTGAGCTTATCGTTGGCACCGGCTGAGAAGGTGGATGACTTGAGAACCTCGCCCATCTCTTCGCGGCAGAAGCTGAAGTTGTTGATCGTCCACATGTAGCTGAACTTGACCACTTTCACCTGCGGACAGAGTGGCGAATGTGAGCCCGGGGCTCGACCCGCGCGCGATCCCACGGCGCGTGAGGCAACGCGCCCGCACATTTGGGTCGGTAAAAGTGACGCACCGAGACGGAGGCGCCGGGCCCGCCCGACCGGCGCGTGACCATCGCGCCGACCCGGTCCATGCATGGCAATCATCGCCCACCCTCCCACAGCCACACGCACTGCAGCCGCGCGGCAAAAACCGGCGGCCGGCGCACAGGCCGGCCGCCGGCAGCACGGTCCGATTTCGTCAGCAGCTGGGAAAGGTGCCACTCTCCGGGCGGCGACACCGTTTGCCCAACCGGGCCGGCGCCGGCGCCGGTCGGCCGCTGCAGCCCGGTCTCCAGCCGGACAGCTGTGCAGCCCCGCCCCGCCCCGGTGCCTGCGCACCGCACTAAAAATACGCCCGCCGCGGGGTGAATGACCGACGCTGTGCGGGTCGAGCGCGGCGGGCGGGCGGGCGGGCGGGCGGCGGCGGGGGCGGGGCCGCGCGGCCGCGCTGGGTCAGCCAGATAACTGTCACCGGCCCGCGCCGCGAAATGGGGCAGAACGGTACACGGCCAGCGCCGGCGCTGACCGGGTCAACACGGCCGGCCGGCTCGCACTGCCGTTACCCTGGCAACGGCCCCGCGCGTCAGGGCGGCACCCTCCCGCCGAAACACCCCGGTGACTGCGGTCCGCTTTGTCTGCGGCGCTTCTGTCTGGGAGGGCCGGGCGCGGCACGGCCCGGGCGCCCCTCACCCTCGCCCCGCTCCGGTCCCCTCAGTCATTTTTACCGGCCCCACTCGGCCGGCCCACCCCTGCAGGCAGCGATTATCAGCCCTCGGCGCAATTATGCAACCCTTGCTGCGTCTTTGTCGTCTGCGCCGTCGGAGCCTCCGCCGTGTGGGGAGCCGACGACAGACGTCTGCCCAGCCACCGAGACAACCGGCCGCCCTCTACGACCGCGGCGCCCACCTGGCTGCGCCGGCCCGGGCCGCTGTCTGGCGCTGCGCGGGGCCGGGGGAGCGCAGCGCGGCCCGTATGGCGGCCGGCGCGACACCCGAGAAAGCGGCTCGTTTCTCTGCGCGGCGCGTGTCGCCGGCCGCTGGAGAAACTCGTTCATCGGCGACGTGGTGGCGGCCCGCGCGCGCGGTCCGTGAAAGCGCCGCTGACCGGGTCGAGACCCCGGCCGGCCGGCCGCACGCACGCCGCTGCACCAGTTCAGTTTGCCGGGGCAGCCGGTGTGCACAGCGACCGGGACGGCCAGGGCGGTGGCGGCCAGCGCGCTCAAAGGCGCCGGCCGGAAGTGACGCGCGCGGCCGGGCGGCACCTGCGCGCGCGCGGCGGCAGCGGCGGCGGCGGCGGCGGCGGCGCACGCGTGCCCGGCCGGGCCCCGCTCGCCGGCGCCGACCGTGACCCGGCCCCCAGCGCCGCTCGCTCGGATTGAAAGGGCCGCTAACGGGCACAAGGGCGCCCCCACGCGGACAGCCGCGACGCGCGCGCGCGCCGCCCTTCCCACGCGCCGGCTCCGGCGACGCCGCGGAAGCCTGCAGCAGCCGCCCGCCAGACATGGTGTCATCAGATCTGATGCGCCCATGCAAGCGGCTTATCTGATTAGTCGCACATATGATCAGGCACCGCGCTCCCACTTCCCTCCGCCGATGACTAGCAATTATTGCAATCAGGCATTAGCATCGGAACAAAGGGATGATGCTGGCAGTTGCCGAGTTTGACTTACAACGGCGCGCATCACTTACTCCGCGGCCCGTGCGGCCCGCGGTCTGTTGTCTGTTGCGCATCACTGTCATCGCGGAGAACCGGCCGCCAGCGCGACACGTATGCGTAATACAGCCCTCTCTCCTTCACTTTCTATATGCAACAGTGTTTTTCACTGCGTGAAAGTCCCCTCTCTGCGGCAGTAAAGTGGCACGCCGCAGATGCGTTTCTCTCTTTCTCTTCGCCCGCACCCAGGCCTGCTCCGTTTCACTGGACGTTTTACGGGCAGGCGCTGTGCCCGGGTGACGCCGATGCCACGGGTCGGGGGGGGGGGGGGGGGCGCAACCGGACGTGCGGCCAGTTAGCATTGACCCGCAGCCAATAACTGGGCGGCATCGGCCGACGCCGGGCCGGCCAGATTAACCCAGTTGAGCGGGCCGACCGTGCTGGCCGACCACGGAGGCTGCCGCCGGGCCGCCACATGGACGGCCCGGCCCGACTGCAGCGCCAGGCCGCCGACGCCGCCACGCAGCGCGCCCACTTGGCAGCCGGCGGCAGCCCCAGAATACCGCGGGCGCAGCCGACGCCCATGCCAGTGCCTGCTGGGCCGAGGACACGGCCGCTGCCGCCGCGCCGTCGGCGAGCGGACCCTCTCCCGCGGCAGCTCGGGTAGGGGAGGCGCGCGCGACCCCTCCCCTGCCGCCGCTCCCCTCAGCGCGTGCGTCCCCTCTTCGGCGCCTGCTACTTTCTCTGCGCCGCCCTTGTTCCCAATACGGCATGGAGGCCGCACGTCGGCCGGCCCCGAAGTCCAAAGTCCCCAATACGGGCCGGCGTATGTCACGGGCCGTACGCACACCGCCGGCGGCGAGGTTACGCCCCCACCGTCGGCCCACGCATACGCACGGGCCGGCCACCGCCGCCGCACCGGGTCAGGGCGAGGCCGAGCGAGGGCTCGACGTCAGCGCACCGGTGAGCGTCGGCAATCACCTCACGGCGACGGCAGCGCGCCCTGCAGAGCGGCTCCCCTCGGAGAACGGTCGGCGCTGCGCCGGCGGCCCATCTCTGTCGCCCGTTGCGTCACCGGTTGCCAAATGAGGTCGTGGCTGCTCGCGAGTGCATGAGCCAGGCGCCGCGGCCCGTCCAGCACCGCGGCCCGGTGACCCGGGCGTGCGTGCGCCCGCCCATCCTCCCAGGTCATCCGTCACTCAGGCAGGCACTGTCCCGGCGCCAGGAGCCGCCACCGAGGCCGACGCTCCGCACACTATCGCCTCCACCCGGCAGCGGCCGCCGTCACCCGGCCTGGCCCGGCCTGGCCTGACGGCGGCCCTTCGCCGCGGCGCCCTTCCAGAGCGAGCGGCGGCCTCGCCGGCCGGCCGCCACAATGAGGGCAGCGCGCGCCGCCGGTGTGCCACTGGCCACCTTCGGCCGGCGGCGGAGTGTCAGCGGAGTCATAGGCCGCCCGGCTTCGCCTGAAGTGGAACAGGCCGGAGCCCAGCGGCCCGCCGCAGATGGGTTAGCGCGCGCGGCGGCCGGCAAAACCTGCGGCGACGCCCCGGCGCTGCGCGGCCCTTCTCGCCGCATCCTGCAGACGGGACGGAGCGGGGGGGGGGGGGGGGGGGCGCCTAACGCCCGGCAGGGCAGGCCGCGAGCCCAGACAAACAGGACGACCGCAGCGCGGCCGGCACGGCGAGCGCTGGCCGTCATCCGGGGCGGCGGCTGGGTCGCCCGGGACACGAGGTCGGCGCGCCGGCCCGTGTATTTACCTGACCGGGTCAGCGCGCGGCGCTAACTGGGCCGATGGGAGTCGGAAGTCGCGCGCCGCCGCCGGGCACGGCCGGCCCGCCCGCGCGCACGCAGCATGGGCCGGCGGCCGACCGCTCGCCTTGATCCACTTCGTTGGCGGCGGCGGCGGCCGGGCGCGTCTCCGGCGGCCGCCGCCGCCGCCCGTCCGAGTGACAGCCAGGAAAAGCCATCGACACGTCGCGCGCCGGCGACCTCCGGGACCGGCGGCTGCTGCCCGGACGACGCCGCTCACCGGCCGCTCGTGCGGAACACGCGCACGCCGCCGAGCCTGCCGGCCCACCTGGCAACACGAGACACCGGGCCCAGCCGGCGCGTCCCTCCCCGGCGCGGCTCGGCCTCGTCCGCCCGAACAAAGGGGCGACGCGGGGTCGTCGGGCGCGAGCCCGCCCGGCCAGCCGGCCCCACACAAAGTCCGTCGCGTCCCGGGGCCGACGTCGGCCGGCGGCGGCGGCGGCGGCGGCGGCGGCGTCAGCGGCGGCTGCAGCGGCCGCCACGCGAAGGTCACGCCGCCGGCTCGGCGGCATCCGGCCAGCCCCGAGCGGCGGCTCATCCCCGCCGGCGGCTGCGGGGGCGGCGCGGTCGCGTGCGGCCCGCCGCAAGCCAACCGCCGTCCGCGCCGCCGCCGCCGCTCCGGCTCCGGTGATAGCGCTCTCTGAACATGACACAATCTGGTGGGGCTGAACGTTGATGCAGCGGCCGTCAGCTGCAGCCACCCGCCCGATAGCTGCCACCGACGCGGGCCGCCCAAGCCCGGCACGGTCGGTACGGCGCGCGATACATCGCTGAGTATGGTCTTCCGAGCGCGAGCCGACAACAAACCCCGACCTGTGCCCAATTGGACGCCCCGCCGTCGGTCCGCCGCGCCGTCGTCTTGCCGCGAGCGGCGCAGCGCCCTCGGTCGGCCGGTCATCGACGCAGTCGCCGGCCGGCGCAGTGACCGCGTCCGCGCTGTGAACGACCCCGCGCGCCGCGCCGGCCGAGCGCGGCCGCGCCCGCCAGCGCGCTGCTGCGTGCGCCGGCCGGCTAACCGCTGGTTCAACGCACCCGCAGCCGGCGGCGCGCGGTGGTCGACCCGCGTGGTCTGTGACACGACGCCCGTATTGATCGCTGGGGATGCGTACCTGGCGGGCGGCGGGCGGCGGGCCGCAGGTCCCGGCCCGGTCCCACCGGAGTGGACGGGTCACCTCCGCCCGAGACCCGAGCGGCGGCGGCGGCGGCGGCGGCGGCGGCGGCAGGGCTCGGCTCAGCGTGGCCACCGCAGCGGTCCCGGGGACAGAGTGGGCCGCCCGCCGGCCAGGTCACCTCGGAGCGCCCCGCCACTCAGCGGGACGGTGTGGGCACGTTAACCTCTGGCCGGCCGGTCGGCCAGTCGGCCCACCAGCTGACCGGGCCTTGTTAGCGGTATTACACCGTTGCGGCGGGCGGTCGGCGCGCGCGCGCCGCGGTGCGTTGACCGGCCGGCCGGCACAAGGTCGGCG